CTATATTTTATTTTTATTATCCGAAATATGCGGGAAAGGGTGTGATTTCAGAGTGTTCGGAGAAATAGTGCCCAGCTTTATTTTCCCGAACGTTCGGAGAAATAGTGCCGGCCTTAATTAATTGTCCTTTTACTATCTGACTGAGTCCATATGAGCGTCTATAGGTTCTAGCCCAAATTAAACAATGTTTCCTCTTTGCCTTTATGATAATTTATTGAGTCGAAAATATGTGATGACTTATACGGGGTGCCCACTACGGATGGGATCGCCCGACTCGGTCGCCTCGTTTCAATTTCAGGCGATCGAATAGTAGGGCCCGATCCAGCCGCAGTGGGCACCCCGTATTAAAATTAAGTTACCAGGCACCAAAGATCAGTTAATCCATGTCGTAACGCTTTGTATTTAAAAGATATGAGGGAGTCGATTTATTTATGCCTAGAATCTATGTGCCTACCTAGGCCCTGTTAGCATTTGGTCAGGATCAAGGATCAAATGAAACGTACTGAAGAAAAAAAACGTATTATTCAGCGTGTAGGCTAGATATCTAAATATTTTTATCTATACAAAGTAGGCGGTGTATTGTAATTTAAATAAGCCTGATACTAGTGATAGACATCGGATGGCAAGCATTAATTATTTCAGCCCACCCGAAGCCGCGGTCACCTACTATAATTAACTACCTGGGATTTATTTCATTGTCAACAATGTGTGTAGGGCCTCTCGCTATGCATAGATCAAGTTGCTCCGCGACTAGGAGATCCTATCAAAGCCTAGGCTGTTTCTGAGAGAGAGAGAGAGAGAGAGAGAGAGAGAGAGAGAGAGAGAGAGAGAGAGAGAGATTTTTGTAAAATGTTTTACGGCGCTCGCAACTGCATAAGGTCATATGAGCGCACGGGACACACCTAATATTTTCAATTGGTAGGAAATCTTGAATTTTGCCCGGGTGGCGGCCGAAGCCTACTCTTATCGATTTTAGACCACCAATAAGGGATATTTAACGTGCGCAACTTGCACACGGGCCCTCCGAGATTTTTCGCCCTTAAATTGTCCGAGAAGGCTAGGTGTAGATCTTTCCTACCAGAAGATCAGGGGTGTGGCTGAAAGACAGCAGTAAGAAGAAGCGAAGGAGTAGCAGTAGAAAGGCTGTAGAAAGAATCAGGAGCCCAGAGGAGGGGGCTAAGGAGGTGAGGGGGTGGGGGCAGAAAGAGGAGACGAAAGCAGACGACAGAACATTGCTAGAGAACAGGAAACGAGGTATGAAGTAGACAAATTTAGAGAAGAAAATGTTTCGATTGCTACCCGGAATCGAACCCGGGACCTTTGAATGAGAGGCCAACACCGTAATCTCTAGGCCACGAGAGCCCCAGAGAGAGACTCAGAGGGAGAGAGACAGAGAAAGACAAAGAGAGACAGAGACAGAGAGAGACAGAGAGAGACAGAGAGAGAGAGAGAGAGAGAGAGAGAGAGAGAGAGAGAGAGAGAGAGAGAGTCTTGACTCTTAAATGGCATGGATAAATAAAACATGTCCAACATGAATTTTGTAAAGCCACTTTAAAAATTAAGCATAAATGGTCATTTCAGCAGTTATAGTACGTGCCGCATATATCAATTTATAAAAAAAGGAAGATTTCAGCAAAATGTATTACACCTAATAGATGAGACTTTTCAGTCTTAATATTTAATCACCAGGAAGCATTCATCACTATGTTTTCCTTTCCCCGCTGTTCTTCTCCTTCCACTTCACACTAATTAACTTAATTACTAACTGACTGACTACGGGCCTCGACTCTAGTTTTTTGTTTTGTTTTTTTTTAAACAGCTCGATCTGTTTCGCTAGGCTAGCCCACAGAGCTGAACGCATTAACTAAACACTGAACACAGCCTTGAGATTGTGCGTCTGTTGTGACCACCGCCTCTTCCCAGAGTAGTTTCCCACTCGCTGTTGTAGGCACTCGGACTCGGGCCCGGCAGTGCGAGATCTACTCGACCGACCCTCTTCTTGTTCAGACCTACTCGATATTCTATAAATCCGAATACGAGAAAGGCAATTCGGTATCGAGCAATGATGAATACTCCCCCCCCCCCCCCCCCCCCACACACACACAAAACCCTATAGGCTACGAAATCAGCAAAGGTAAAAGGGGATGATGCGCAAAGTGCAGGCATGTGTAAATATACAAGAGAGGTCCTATGGTAACTTCTCTTTATTTTCAAGGATCTGGAGATTAGGGTACTTTTTGAATAAGTGACCAGACCTTAATTCCTAAATTGCGTCTTCTGTTTCAATTCGTTGAGTGCCCCGAGAGAATCGAACGGCTTGAGAAAAGAAAAATATTTTATAGAATATAGCTTAAACAGCGCAATTTTGGAAGGATCCATGCGTGGGAATTTATAAAACGCAGCAAGCCAAAACACAAATACCAAAATCTTTTGCAAAGTCCCATCAAGAGGAAGAAGATTTTTTAGCGTAAGTCCTCAAATATTATGACAGAATGAAGCTTTCAAGTGAAACGTTGGGTCATATAGGGTGGTTCGGGAAAAGAAAAGCCATCATCAGTCAATATCAAAGGCCCTACACTGGCGCAGGATCTTTGAATAGGCCTACATAATTTATCATGTATCGAGGCTGTGTGTGTTGTCGAAGCTGGCTGAAACCATCCATGTGCCGACCAGTCCGACGGGTCTCCAACCAGATTATCATGGAAACTATAAGCAGACAGACTCTGGGATGGATCTTGAAGAGGGGGGGGGGCAGAGATAGACACGTTCTGACTGCAGTGACTAAAACACGTGGACAAGTAAGAAGAGAAGTAAGTAAAGTAAATATAAGATAAGTGAGTATCGAGAAGCTGCGAGACATGATATATTCGATAGCGATAAGTACTCGGAACGAAATCGACCTCGTCTCAGCTCTCATCAGAGTAATCACCAGGTATATCCCCCGATCCTCGCTCGTGGAAGCGAGAGAGGCTGGGCTGCGTGTGTTGTCGAAGCTGAAACCATCATTTCTTCTGTTGTTCCTTGGGTCAGATCCAGTTGCTGTTCTCTTTTTCCGACTCGGAATTACACACACACGCTGTTCTTTGAGAGCGCGCAAGTCAATACTTTCAACATGGCTGGTGCAGACGGAATGCAAAAGATGTTACCAGAAGCTCACCCGAAAAGAAAGCACCCATTGCATCCACTTTGTGCGAGGACTGCTTTCAGCTGCAATAAGTTGTTTTTGTTTATCTACGCTCTTGTGTTTTTGGTGAGTAGAACTTTTCATTGTTTACCTTCCCCGCCAGACCACAACCTAGAATCTAGAATCTCCCCTGGAAAAACAAAACAGTAAAAGAAGTGCTAAAGTGCTAAAGCCTCGGCACTCGGTTGCCAAGTAAGGTCAATTTAGGCATCTCTGTGTAAACAATAAGAATGCGATGCTTCTTTTTTAGCAGTGTATGGTATGTTATGTAGGCAGGCCTAAAAGTGTAGAGGCTAGTACTAGTATTAGTTTGGGTTAATAAATAAATGCTCCTATAGCTGCATAGCAACACTATGGCATGGGTTATTAGTCATTAGTTTCCAAATTTATCATCCTCTCCAATAATATTAATATGATGAGGGACCGAGCTAAAAGACCAGATCTAGTCTAATAGATCTAGTTCAGGTGAGCCTTTTGCCGCACTTTTGGCTATTCTCACGCTGTGTGTTTTCACCGTGATAGGCCAACCAGTGTAGGCCTAGCGTTCGCCGTGGATTCACGTTCCAGCGCTCTTGACTCTTGTCTTGAAAGCGTGCAATTTTGTCTGTGTGCAGTTAGAGAGGAAGGGGGGAGAGAGATCGAGTGATCTTCTGGGCAAAACAAAGTGGTGACCCGCGGAGTTCGGCTCGATTCGAAAAGTGAAATAGCCATGGCGTCTTTTAAGACATTCAAATTAGTTTACCTACTTTTTTGCCATAACATCATTTTATCTTTGTTTTTGTCAATTTGATCCTCCACACCGATAATAGACAGTATATAAATTATATAATATTCTGAAATAAGGAAAAACTTGTCTTGTTTCACACCGGGTTCGGAGTGTCTACGTACATGGTAACCGGGCATGTAGTCTCAGTATCTACATACACGATAACCAGGTGCTTGGTGCACGGTAAATGCTTCGCTCCCTTCATGACCTTGACTTCTTTCATTTTTTCCCCGCTTTCCTGTTGTATTTTTATGTGTATCCAGGTTCAATTAAAACTTTGAACCCAAATAATTATAATGAAACACACCTGTCTTGTTTCGTCATAGACTCTGTGATCCCAAGTAATGCAACACACTCAAG